AGTGTGCGAGGAAAAAAAATAGAGATACCCGAACCTACCACACAAAAAAAAAAATACCCGCCCCTAACCCTGATCTATCAGTACACGTAACATTCCTGGGCTCAGCGTTTGTACTCGCTTTGGCATCAAAAAAGAAAAAAGAAGAACATAAGTAGGCGCCGCGGCGCACTTACCCGTGCAAACTAGTTAGGCATCTGTTTGTGTGATATTCTTGTCCCAGCTGAAACGGTCGTCACCCTTTGAAGGATCCGCTCACTGATTAATGGAGTACACTAATGTAGAAAAAGGCAGGCGGATAGGTTCGACAAGACAGTGCTGGAGCATGCATAAAGTACTAAAGTAAGAGGTCGAGGCAAAACGGTGTGTGAAAATTTGTCGCGCATGCGCGTCTGCTGTTGTTGTGTTAAAAAAGGAAATTCCAACAAGTGGAGGGGGAAGGTGCATGCAGAAATTTCCGTTCTTGCAGAAGGAGAAAATCCCCCTGCTATCTTGTTTTCGCTCTTCCCACCCACCGTAGAGGGGTCTTCCCTTTTTGCGACCTTTTTGAAAGACTTGATACGACCCCCACTCAGTGAACGTGTGTGAACAAACATTAACATTACATAGGACGGGGTAGAAACTCCGGGAGTGTTTCCGTTTTCCAGGTATTCCTGCCCCAATCAAATAAAGTTCCAATGAAATTTGCAGCTGCCTCTTTCGAGGGTCATAAGTTCCTTCAAATTCGAGGTTGTGCGACAGGTACGAAGATTAGAAATTCGAATCATATTCTCTCCAAAAAGTAGCTGAATGGTCCTTGAAGTTAAATTAATAAGAAATTAGCACGTTGGTACTTTTCCGTGCACATGCGAGTTTTCAACCTTCAAACGATCACAACTTCCTTCAAAGTCATTAATTTGGGAAGCTGAAGCCAGTATGACAAACTCAGGGTTCAAGCTTTCTAAAAAAAAAGTGCTAAAAATTATTCAAAAAATGACCGATTCAGAAGTTAGTACAGGTGGGACTCTTTCTGGAAAAGCACTCTCCAAGCCATTTTCTTGGAAAGGAGGATTTTTAGTTCTCAGTGGCCGTAACTTCTTGTCAAACTTTGAGTGTGTCAGAAAAGTACGAGTATGTGCTTTCGAATATTCACTCAAGCGTTTGTGGATATCCGTTTGAAGGGCCTTGCACTAACAATCCCTGCCATGGTGTGCGCCGCGCCTGCGCTGTGCTTCTGATTCGCCGGTGCATTTCAAAGTCGATATAGATTCACCCTGCTGATCACTACGGTTACGACTCCCTCCTACCTCAGGGTCCAAATACGACCCCTCCCTCCTCGCTGATGCATTTACCAACATACTGTAGACCCTGCCCCGGACCATCCTGTTGCACAACACCCCCTTGTTCGTAAGGACTTGGGAAATGCAAGTCCCCCTTCCGTTCTTCTTTCTTGAATCATAAAAAATATATTATTTCGTCGGGCACATTATGACCAGGATGGCTGCGCCAAGGCCTATGGTTATGTTCGCAACCTTTTTAACACATTCACGCCGATGGCCGCCCATATGGGCTGCCAACAACATGCGCTCCTGGGACGATGGCAGCCCATATGGGCTGCCAACTGATAATCGCTTGCCAGGCGCTAGGAATGGACAGATAGGTGGGCAAACCTCGTAATCGAGTGTAAAATGCTTTTAAATTCCTTCACGGGGAAAGTGAATAAATGCTCTCTTTTCGTAACCACTATTTGTCGTTCTGATCGAAATCCTACTGTTATATGTTTAGATAATCTTTACGCATTGGACATTGCAGAAATTATTTTGTGACATTCATGTTTTTGTTCATTTACAAAACAAAATCTGCGGTTATGTGGTGAGGCGGCGGCGCCCACAAAATCGCGTCCGTCCCACGCGACCGAAAAGTGGAAAAGGGGCGTCGTCGTGAATGGAGAAGGAAAGCAAACGAAACCACCGATTACGCCCCGTACAGAGACCTCCCTATTTCAGCCACATTCCACCTTGGGATAGAGAAGAGGCGCGTTGGACGAGTTTCACGAACCTAACTCTACTTGCTCCAGTGCCAATAACATTGGATATGGGACCGCTGCCTCAAATGCGCCTTTTCAAGCAGCGCCACGTGGCAACCGACAGCGGAGGGTGGGGCCAGGGTCGTCCTATCGTTGTTACTTTCTGAAAAATTTTTACGACCTCCCCCAAGGTGGATTTGGTACGATCCCCATTTCGACACCTACCACCATTACCGTCTCTTTTAAAGCAACAATCCAGGAACGAATTCGCGGGTAAGGACCACCTATAATGACGTTGCAGGTGAGAAGTTGGTCAATGGAGAAAGAAAAAGTAGAAAAAAACGTCGGGCAGGGGCTTAGACAGGGACTCCCCCTGCCGTTTAGGGAGACGTGTGTTGGACGAGTTGTCCGAACCTGCCCGTAGTACATGCGCTCCAATTGCAACTGCTGGCAAATAGCTGCATGCTTGCAAATACATACATGGCACTATTTGCCAGCAATCGAAATTGAAGGCGTCAATTTGCGGTTATTACGGAAAGGACTTCGACCCCTTCCAGCGCATTTTAGAGGTAGGTTTTGAAATTAAAGACATTTCCTATAAACTTTAGTTGGGCTGGGGCATGTTTTGACCGCCTAATGACCAAGTAGTTGAAACCCTGCCTGGACTGTTGCTTTAAACTCCACAGTCAAATCATCAAACCCGCCACTTTTTCCTCCAAAAATGCCGTCGAGCGGGGGGTATATAGTCACTCTGAAACGGTAAATATCTCCGAAAATTTCCTTCTATTTCCACCATTTCAACCCATTTTTTACCTATACTCCCACTACTTCCTTTTCTAGGGGGTATATACGCCCGCTGAAACGGCAAATTTTTATCCTGCGCGCCCTCCACTCGCCCAGCCTACTACCACGAAATCTTAGTTTCACCTCAATCCCACACGTGATTTCAAGCGACTAAAGTGGGTACGACCCCCCCCTCCAAGCTAAACCAAGTACGACCCCCCGTTGGTACTTGTACCAACGTAGGGTTGACCTGGTGGAGGCTTGCGGACGAAGGTGAGTGTTGCAGGTCGGACGAGCTGCTTGTGCCTTTGTCGCGCACTTTCAAGCGGCAAAAGGGGTGCGACAACAACACTTGTCCGCCTGCCTACTACCACGGGATGGAACATGCGAGCGCGCCTAATCGTGGAGCGTGCCTTTAAAGCCAGGGCAATAAGTCGGTTTCGGTGGTCATTTTTAAAGGTGGAAATTGCGTGCTTGATAAATGAACCCTTCTCTATGCTGATCAGGCTTCGAGCGCTCCTGGTCTTAAAAATATGAGATCCGTTCTTCGCCATACAGGGAACAAGCTGGATTGTATGGCTGGTGTTAGAGCGCGCGATCCGTCGCTCGATTCGCCCAAATCGCAAAAATTGCAGGTGCCTCATTTAACACGTTGACGACAACGCGCGTTTTGGCTTCTTTGACCGCGTGGGACCGGCGCGATTTTGCGAGCGCCGCCGCCTCAGGTCCTTCAGGCGAATTTTGCATGGTAAATGAATAAAACATGATTGATACAAAGTTAGATTAGTCTTTTTCAGTGCGTAGAAGCGCCCCAGAGATATAGTAGTGAAAATTTGGTTCGAAAGTCGGATGAAATAATAGTGAAAAAGCAAAATTTGTCAGAATCAGCTGCAATGAACGTCAAAAGCAATTTTGCACCGATTATTGCAATCCAAACACATATCTTGTCATACTTGAGGTTCCGTATTGACTTACACTACCCTTTAAATATTCACATTCATGAAAAGAAAATGTAAACAAAAAATCAACTGGGTTGACGATTTCGTTCGGTTCAGAAAACCTCCCCTAATTTGAAGCACACGTGACCACTCTAAGAGCGACTATGTTTCTATCTATGTTAAGGTTTCTCTATGGAATGAATACAAGAAGCCTAAAAATGAATCACGTGTGCGAGAAAAAAATGAATGCACTGGGTGCAGGACACATACGTCCCGCGTTGTCCGTTGTGGTCTGCAAAGTGCGGGACGTATGTGTCCTGCGCTGTCGTCAACGTGTTAAAGGTTGAAAAGCTGAATATGAAACAAGAATCAGGAGCAGTCGTCATTCAACCACCACCATCAAGCACAAATGATGTGGAAATTGGAGAACACTGACAATTGATCGGCAGGCAATGTGCTTCCGCTGGTTTGAATTTGTCGCGCCGACTCGCAGCGAATTGTGTACGGAGACGACTTTGCGACAGCTATCAAAAGTACCCGTGAGTCGTCAACGACGACGCCACTAGTTTCCCAGCGTCTTGCGCTCACCGTGACGTTCGCACATTTCAGAAATTTCACACCCCCTCGAGGGGGGGGGAGAACTTACTGTGTTATGAACAGATAATGTCTCGCCTCCCACCTACCTCCCACATTAATCTTCAAAACCCCAAACAAACCGCCCTCCACCCCTCCACCTCCACTCGACAAATTACTTAATCCCACTCCATCACCACCTGAACGCGACTCCTTTTCCCAAAAATAACCACAAATGCGACTCCCTCCTTCGAATAGTGCAAACACACGGTTGACCCTGCTCTCCGATGTGACTTAGGCTGTGCCCTCGTCGCAGCTGATGGTGAGCTCTGAGTGCTGTTTTTAAACATTCCAAAAATTCCATATTTGTTTTGAGTAATTCACCAGTAATCTGTCTGCAGTGAAAAAAAAACAGCCGCGAAGACTGTTGACATAAAACATTTATTATCTAAATCCATGTGAGTACATCTCATTCGAGCAGAAACAGGTGAACAAAAAACATTTGAGTGCCCGTGTGGGAAACTACTAGAAGAAAATGTACATTAATCACAATGATAAGGGTAACGATTTAGAATCGAAAGAATAATGCCCCTTTCATCCATTTCAATACTGTACAGAATTAATTATGTACAATGATTACTACCAAAACAAATTTACTAAATTCAAGTTAACTCACTGTATTTACAACCTACAGATCTAAGGAACTAGATGTTCAATGTCTTCTTCCAAACATTGATAAGCTCCAACCTGCAATGGAAAATTTCGATAACAAATTCTGTAAAAAAATTTGTTAAAGACCTTAGAGATGATATTGCACAAGTTAGGAGAAGAGGCAAACAGACAGCGTGACATGGCTTGAATGAGCCAAGACACTTGACTACGACTGAGGCTTTTGCCATGGCAAAACTTTGGTGCCCGTCAGAGAGATTGTGCCGAGCAATGGACAATCGCGTGCACTTTTGCAGAGCGATGGATAATCGCTCAAAAAAAAACTTGCAAAAACTCACTACAACAGAAACAAGTAAACGAAGCTGCTAACTCACCAGCACATACTTGCAACGACATCAACGCCCAGAATCGTCACATAAAGCGCGAGACAACTGAGCTTCTACTTTTTTGACGGCTGGCCTCAGGGGATTTGTTCTGAAAAGGACGATTCGTAATTATTATGTTTCATAAACACAGAACTATTCTTAATTAACTACCAAATCAAATGAATTGATGGGAACTGTAAATCTACAACAGGCTATCATGTGAACGGTGCTTGGTTCAATATGGACTCAATATGCTCCCCTTACTACGCTCATTCAATCCGCAGGCGTCGTATCTTTTTTGCAAATTCTCCAATCCTCCCGAACACAGAATATTTGGAAAAAAAAACCGCAGTCTATTAGCATAAACCGGTGGTGGTTACGGCATTAGCCACATCAGAGTTACCGTAGACAAATGATATAATGGAAGCTAGATGGTTTCTAAATCTGGTAGCCTTACTCAAACTGTCGGTTTTGCTTTCACAAACACTAGACTACCCTAACCAGTGCTATCAATAACAGTGCTCAGGGCAACGGTTTTCTTGGCACCAGCACTAGAAATATTTAGCACACAGCAAAAATGTGTCGGGCTGACCAAATACTTGGAAATTTGTCACGAGTTCCAATGGTATGGGTAAGTAAAATGGTTTACTGGGTGCTAGCAAGAAGCCACATCCACGGTCCTCAAAAGCCTTTATGAGACACGCACCTGATTAGGAAGACTCAATAAACAACATGCTACTACATTATTTCCACTTCATCCGTCTTCGACTATTTCATAATTCCAAGATTTCACGGAACCCAGGTTTTTTCTGTGATAATATAGCTCTCAAAAGTATGCCTCACTCACATCACTATGATTTCAGAACTCGGGAGCTTCTTTATTTAGGTATATTCTACCCTTCAAAAAAAGTACATGAAAAGGTGACAGTCGTTGACATGGTACAGCAAAACATTGAAGGCAGTTGGTAGAAAATGGATTTCCCAAAAGAGAAAATGTGCACTTTATGACAAGAAGTTGAGCTCCCTAGAAAACGAGATATGGAAGTTACGTGGGGAAGAGCCGGAGCTAGAGCCCTCTACACAGGGCCTACCCCAAAGCTGCTAAATAATGACAGAAGAATGCGGAACAAAAAATGATGGCAATCACAAAGGAATTGAAATGTGGGACGACCAAACCCATGGCGGCTAACCATTTCAATCGTTGAAAATCTTTATACAATATGTCAAATGAGTTATCCTAATCAATAAAAAATAACAAGTTGTGTTCTAGAAAAATTAAAAAGGATTGAAACGAATTTCTGGACCGTAGATTCCATTCTGTTACAGAGACTGAATTTTTCGCTTCCGCTTGTTTATTAATTTTTGATTTTGAAAAAATCAGAGGTGACACTGAAGTTTGGGGGGAGCACTCATATCTAATCGAGTGGAGCTGCGGAAAGCACTCATATCTTATCAAACATAATCATCATATCCTTCACTTAGGCCTACCACCGCTACGTCGCACTTGTTACCCTTGTCGTATTATTCTATAGCGAAAATGGTTGCCACCTTTCTGACCCTTCATTTTCACCAAATCTCCTTGCGACCGCCGTGAACGGAATGAAAGCACAATATACTTCAAAATTTCGTAACCTAATATCTTTAATCCCTGAATTATGTCATGACACCTTGACTTGTTTCAAACAGACTCCTTATCATGAAATTTAGTTTGAGATCTAGTCCAATTATTGATATAAACAATGAGATCACAAGACATTATGGAGATTAGGCGCGCAGTCCGAAGCCTGTCTTGGAACAACGAATGCAGGCATAGTCTCTATCGCGTGGAGCCGGCTCGCCTGCGGCGAAGAGTAAATTAAAAAGAGTGACTTGTTTAGAAATAATGAAATTGCAAGCAAATCACATTACACATCGAAAAAAGTTACATTGAGGGTTGCTCGTCCGGCTCGATAAGTTTTTGTGTCTTGTATGAGAGATAGGTGTTCCAGAAAAGTGCCACTAGTTGAACGACAATAACACGCATATTCAACGGAACTAGGTAGAAATTTGCGAGTTGAACCGCCGGCCAAACCTGAAAGATAAAAATGAAGGATGACATTACTTCCACCTTAGGTAGTGAGACCCGAAAAAATACCTTCAAACTGTTCGAATAGATAGTCCACCAATCTTCCTTCATTTTGTTCCACGATTTCTCAATTCCCAAACCTTCCAGTAATCGCAGATTGAATAAAATCACACCATTAAAGAATGGGGCAAATGCGAACTGAAAAACCTCTTTTTTCGTCCACGGCTGAAGCCCGAAATAAGTGAGAATGGTTAACAAACCTGCGTCTGAGTAACATGCGCTTGGGATCAAGCTTGGGATTGCCGTTCACTTTTTCCAGTACTTTGAACCACCTATTTAATGCCGGAGTCTAAATCAATTTTTTCAGTCAAAATTAGAAAACTTAAAAAAAATACCCTATGACAGCAAGAAGACACCAGAAAAGAGTGGTTTGTTCCATAAGACTTACAATGAAAAAGGATCCCTAACACGAAAAATCTGCCAGTTCTGTAAAACATCGTACGTCTCCCAAGTTCTCCGTTCTAATGCAAGTTGGCAGCAAGTATCTCCTGCTCCGCAAATTGCTCCTACAAAAAAAAATTAAATTTTTAGAAAAAAATCGAAGTTTAGACTTTGAGTCAGTGAACAGGCTTTTATGGCGGGGGGCAGCAGGTTTGGTGAGGTGATTGAACGTCATTGGTCGAAAAGACCACTGCAAGCTGGATTTGTGGTTGGGCCACCAACGCCTTCAAGAGTATTGAGCAAAATCTGCGTGAAACTAACCATGGAAAACTACTCCTTTCAATGTAAGGTGTACGTAGACAGAGGGAATACTTGAGGAACCCCGCTCGAATCAAACTACAAGGTCAGCAGGCGCCCTGCCGCATTTTCAAAAAACTGTGTACTACTGCTAAAGGGAACTTGGTCATGCACCGAGGTTTTCAAAACTCAAAAGTCATGGAGAAGCTGTTCGATCTAGCGCAGTTGAGGGGGGGGTCACGCGGTTGTGCGGCCGTCTGCTTCGCCTGTGCTCCCCTTTTTTTCGATACTACATCGCAGCGGCATGGAAAAGGGCCCCTCAGGACTGAGCCTTGGAAACGCCGCGCCGCATGACCCCCTCAACTACGCTAGCACCGCTGCTTCTAACATACTCCGCTAGATATCAGCAAAGCATGTTGGAAGCAGTTTATCCGTCCAACATCTATCAAATGCGGCGGCCGACGTCAATCCATGGCCACGCCTAATAGTTCGAGAAATGGACTGTACGATAGCGCCTTAAAATCCCCGCTGTTCCCATCCCTTTCCTTTGAGAATCTCAGCCTTAGAACTAGCTGGAGCATTCGCTCTTCTGTCTGGATTCATACCAATACTACATGAACATGTACACGCTTCGACAAGTTAACGAAACGTGGTCAGGCGTTTACGAAAACCCCATATATGCGATAGGGTCTAAAAATAAATAACAGTTAAAGCAAAATCATACCTGTGGCTATGACTTGTGTGAGAAGGGGCCTCCTCTCAAGAGATCTTTGGAACAACTTTAACATTGCGTTTACTGAAAAAAAAAGCCATCAAGCCACAAGAAAGAGCGTTCGAAATATTAGCGAAATAAAAACCACACTCAACAACACCGGCTGAAAAAAGCACACTCAACAACACCGACTGACAACTTCAACACGTTGATGAATGAGGAACAATGACGGTACATGATCCATATCAGGGGTGTACTAACAGTGAAAGATATGACAAAATATTTGATATTTACCATTTATCGCAAACAATACAAGCGCAAAGAGATCCTTCGCAAAATTTGCCGACCACGGGAAAAGCGTACTTTTCACATATACCAAAGTATTCATAGCCTCTTGGAACTTACAGGGAGTGTTATCGTTCAATCTATATCACATCTTCTACAACTTACAACTATATACGAAAAAGCTTTAATTCCAAAATGGTATCTTTTCTAGATAGATTAAATCTGAGTTTAAATAGATTATAGTAGTTTAGTCTCACCACACGCCAAGTTTCAGATGGAATGTACACGGTTCAAGTGCACAATTTGCTACCAACCTCACGCCACATGTCTAAAGCCTATTGAAAATGAAATAAGAATTGAAAAAGAGTCGATATGAGGGTCATATTTAGCTCTGGGAGAAAGGGTGTTAGATGAAACTGTCAGTGTACTCTGTGAGGGCGTAGGAGAATGTAGTGGCCGATGTCAGACTTTGCGATTGGAGCGATTTTGCACCAATTGAGCGATCCGTCGCTGCGAGCGACGGGAGATTTACACCGCCGACCACCGATAATTCGGCGCCATCAGCTCGGAATCGATGGATCGCTTGCGCTGCGACGGATCGCTCAAATGCGAGCGACGGGAGATTTACCCGAGCGGCGTCGGGTGTATCGGTGGTCGGCGGTGTAAATTCTACCCGGTCGCTCGCCTGCGAGGGACGGGCGCGAGAATTTAGAGCTGGTGGCGCCGAACATCGCTAAGCGATCCGTCCTTCTGAAACCGTCAATCGCAAATCCTGGACGAATCGGCAGTATGGTGTATGACTGTAGGGATGTCTTGACGAGATTTCAGAAAATTTTTGGAAATACAAAATTTGTTGCAATTTTTTATAATTTTACGAAGTTTCCGCGCTGTTTTTACTTGGTGGAGAATACAAAAGCAGTATTCCCCTCCCCTGATCCCTGATCTCGACGAATTTTCGGTAAAGTCAGGCATGGTTCCGGTTGGGGTGGGAAGGGAATGGGAGCAGAACTTAGAGGGGCCCTAAAGGGTGGAGGGAGGGGAGGTGGGTCACATTAGCCCTATTTGGGAGGCTGTAGTGTTTGCGGTCGAACACACCTCGGAGAGAACTAGGATTAAACAAAAACGTAAGCGAGAGCGAGGCGCAACGCAACCTTGTCGAAAAACTGACGGGATCCTTCACTTTGGATTTTGGCGTCCTACCGGCTCTAGAAGGCATATTTCACGACGACTTTGTGTAGTTGTTCCGCTTGAAATGAAAGCAGAGGATCAAAGTGAACAGCAAGTGGAGAAAGGAATGAAAAGAAACCGCCAAAAACACTGAAAGAAGAGGCCTCCTATTACTAGATCATGATATTGAAGAGAGACTGTGCGTGGAGTGAGGAGAGCAGCATCGGAGATAAGGGAGCACTGGAGACAAGGGAGACGCACACACCCTGCCGCATACAGCGTTTCAAGGCGAACAATGCCGTTTGAAAACAAAAGTGAAGGCCTTTGTGCCCATGTCGCGCAGTTTCGAGCTGCGAACAGGGCACATTTCAACTTTTATAGGCAGCTCTATCTTACTCGCGTAAAGGACCAGTTCACCTCAATCATGCGCTGAATGTGCCTCGTAAGCCTCAGAGCTGTACTCTGCACAGACAGGATGAGCATACGGTCGTGTTATCCAACGCGCTGTCGAGAGGACGATGCTAGGAGTAACCCTATACACGCAAGTGCAGAGGGGAATCCGGAGTGCCGAACTACGCCAACGATCGAAGATCAGGGACGCTGCCGTTTTCGCCAAGGAATCGAAGATAAGGTGGGCCGGACACGTCATGCGATTTTGCGATGACCGTTGGACCAGAGCGGCTATCGGATGGGTGCTTTGGAACGTCAAGGGAACACCAGGACAGCTGTCGGTTTAGACAAGACGCTCTCATAAAAGCTGTGCACGAAAGAAGTGCTTAGCATCCCTCAAGCGAGTACAATGCACTGGAATGTTCTGCCACGCAACAGAGGTGAGTATTGCGGGCGAGAAAAATTCGATGAGCATGGGGAATGGAGGAGATTGGCAGGAGATTAGCTCTCAAGAGGCTCTTCCCATCCTCACGAATGAGGAAATAATTGAAGTATAAACTAGTATGAAGACGATACACGATGAGGGAAAAAACGGAGTCGAAGGAAGGATAGAAACAAATGAAAGAAAAGAATGAAAATGAACGAAAAGACTGAGCACCACCATAGTTATAGTTGAATTTGAAAGGGCTGAGCAACCAATAAGCGAGGCACACGCCAAACCTGGCAGCAATGTCGGTTTTTATTTGCCATAAATCGAACTATTCATTTATTCCAGAAAAATGCGCAATTGCAGGATATCTCACCAACAACTACTGATAGGCATGTTGAGAGCGTTAACAGTAGGCACGTAAGCTCGTACTTGAAGTAAATTAGTGCCCAATCTTGCCCACACTAGTCGTGTCTGGGATTGAAACAAAGAAGGAAGAGCGATGTTCGTCACGTTCTTTGGTCTTCTACTGGGACAAGGTCTACCTGGGATCTACTGTGCGTATCAAAATTGAGGTGACATTTTGCTTTGCGGTACATTTTCCTTTAATCGCCTGTCGTGAACTAACAGATTGGTTCGATCAACTCCCACAGTGAGCTACGGCCTGGGAACCCAATTAGGGCCGCCAATGTTTAGGACCAGCTGCCACTCCTTCATTTAGAGCCAACCATCCTTCAAGGAGGGCCATAACACACCAAGCAACCGGGTTCTTCGCTACCACGCAAATTTTGAAGCCTGATCGAAATCATTTTTCATGAAAAGGCCAGTAGTGATACAGGAGTGCGAAACGAGTGCAGTCTACATCTTCACTAGTCTGTCTGTTCACACGAGCTGACGAAACAACGGCGTTCGTTCGTTGATAAGAAAACGGTTCACTTCAAAGCATATGCAAAAAGACAGATACCAGGACCGATCAGAAGAAGGTGAAAAATTAACAAATCCGCAAGATTAGGTTGCTCGATCTAACAGAAGAGTGCAAGTCAACCCTGCGTACTCCCCCACTACAGCACTGTAACCAGCCATGTATGCAGTAAACAACGGCAAAGACTGGTGAGAAAAACAAATAACTTTCCCTAGAACCGAACAACTTTTGTCTGCTTCACACAGCACAAAGGCGGATGTATCAAAAGATGAAAGCACCCGAGATTGTAAAGTTTAGCGGAGAATTCCTTTAGGTGATTTACTATCCAGTCCATTCCAAACCGCATTTATTCTTATTGCTCAACAGCATTTTGCAAAAGCCCAGAACTTCGAATCTGTTCGCGTCCCTTCAGCACCCGAGTGTGATATATGCTATTATCCAATAAAATATTAGCACATCAGAACTTGTTGATGACGGACATTGTTGTTGTGAAGATAATGGTAGTTAAAAAGTCAGAAATTGCCACGAACTTCTGGCGACACGCCTCGAACCTCACCAACTGATACGAGCGTCACTCTGAAGCGCCACCGCACGGCAGAGAGTAATCTTTGATCTGTTCAGGAAAATGGTTAAAAA